TTATTGTATTTTGTGATTTGGACCTAAAGTAATCGACCGTTCGAGATTCAATAGAACGGTCACTGTCATAAGACAACACTCTGGTGTTAATAATCCACAGGTTGATTAGGGATAGATAAGATGGGACTTTCAGGATAGCTTGAAGTCAAACACTGATGTATGATAAACCTGTTTATATTGTAACAACTAATAACTTTGAAGAGCGTAACAAAATTGGCAAACTAAGGTCGACAACAGCCAGTCAGATAGTACCAAAAGTCTTTAAAGAAATATGAATTTGAAAAGTACTATTTTCAGCCGGTTATTAGCCGATCACAAACATAACCTTAGTAGATGAATAGTTGGTGGAAAATGAAACAATAATACTACAAAACATTAATATACATTTTTTATAAAATTAGCGAATCTATTAAAGATCTCTACGGGAAATTCTCTCTATAAATGAAGAAGAACAGTAATTTATGCAAAATCATTCTTATGAATAAAGATTTTCCGTCTTCTTGAACTGTTGGATGAACAGGAATACATTTTTAAGAGTCCCTACATTGCTCTTAGTTACAGATAAGCATTAAATGTTAAGGTTTTTACGAAAAATTGATAAACGTTAAAAAAGACTATTCTACTACCATATAAATGAGTGGATTTCACACATAAAACTTTATTCCCAAGGAAATGTAATCTTAATGATTAAGGTTTGTATCAGGATTATGTGTCTACAATTTGGAGATAATGTCGATTCGCCTACTATGTATAATCTTCAGAGATAGGACTGAAGATCCGATATGTTTAACACTATCATTTTCAATCGATTATTGCAACAACAACAAAATTTTGTGTTATTATTTTAAATGTTTTTATCGGTATCCATAGAAGTATCTACATTTTATTATAGGAGATATTTGAATGTTGTTAAAATACCTAAAAACCCTGTTCTCAACTATTATTCATTCGTATACTATAGTTTTACTGTCAAACATGCTAATTATCATGACTCACAAAGATGGTAAAGATGACAAGTCATGAATTTGTCGGATGTATCAAACGATGATCAAGAACCTATTAAAATTTCGGTAGACGCTGATTATCTTAGTGATCCACAATGTACCAATGAGATTTTCAAGAAATTTGAGGAAAATGTTTCAGAAGAATTTAATCTTAATGACCTCATATCAAGTGCCGTTGATCCTCACCATCTAGTCATGTTTAGTGAACTCTCTATTTTATCCTGTATAACATAACTATATCCTTTATTCAATTGACATGAACTACGCTCAGTATGTGATTTGTTATATATGTGATTTCATCCTAATTATTAATCAATAATGGCTGTATGAATCAATATATAAATGAGTGTGTTTTCGACTAGTGTCATCCTCGTGTTTTGGGGTTAGTAAATCTTTACTTATACCAGTTTTTATGTTCTTACTTTTCGTGTTGTGGGGATTGTCGAGGTCTCTCGTTTCGAGTATAAGTGATAGGCGTTTCCGACATAACAATTGGCAACGAGGATTTCGGAAAACATTGACAAGTTATAATAGTTCGTAAAACTTTGGACAGTTTTTTTCCTTTTGATTTACATGTGGATAACACCAATCGTTAACGATCGAACGATTAGCATAGTATTTATGAACTCTAAAAGAAATGACTGTTTTAAAACACCTGATTAATTATAATTAATAAATATAGGAGTTTTCATATCAGTTTTCATGCATTTGAAAATTTAGTCAGTTGTTCTTTTTTCTTGTTTAAATAACTTAATAATTAAGACTTCATAGTAAGATGATGACAAAACAGTTAGGAATACTTGAGAACATAATGTTAAAAGTTTGATAATAGTTTAGAATCGTTTATATTTAATTTGAGGTAGATAAATGCCATTCTGAGAATTATTGGTTTGAAAACTGTTTAATAGTACAATGCATTAAAAATATGTTGTTTAAACAATAAATTTGTCTAATAATGACTGTTCTTCCAATTCGCAACACTGACTTTAGTTAGATAACCTATAAAATCCAAGAAAGTAATGGACAACGATTCTCATTGAATAGGGGACTCTTTAACAATCTTCTTCTACAATTCTATCACAGGAAATCAAATCCAGAAACTTTACGTCTCATGAAGAGAATTCAGTTGTTGACATCCAGTTGTTTGATTCTATGAATAAACAGATTCTTAACACTTTCTAATTTTAAATGATTATTAAACTAAGATCCAGTCCTTGATGTAGAAACTATAAAATTCAACATTCTCTAGTCCTAGTTTTCAATCATTTTACGGTTGAAAATTACATATTCATCCAATATTTTACTAAATACAATGAATATGTAGAAGAAACAAATTTGGTCAAGAATAACCGTTGTAAAATAACAGGAAACAATGAGTAGAATCAATTTGTCATATTATAAAGTATAATAAAATTCTATTTCATTTACAGAACAGAATTAAGTATGTTTTACGAAGTGATAAATTATCACTTTACCATATAGTAAATGTTAATTACCCTTAATAATAATAATAATAATAATAATAATAATGGTTCTCAAGAAAAATTCTTATTTCTCTTCAAAATACATTAAGCTTCATTAGTACAATCAAGAGGCTGAACAAATTAACTGAACGACTTCTGTCTGAAGTTTGTGCTGATGACGTTGTTTAGAAGAACGATGAAAGCTGTACGGTCAAACCATCCAGCTCAGAGAACAAAACTCCATCAAAATCAACTAGTTTTGCGTCGCACTTTTCACAATTTCGTTCCGCTTTATTACCATGAGATTTTTTTCTCTAAACCTTTATTAGTACGATTTTATTCTCGTGTTTTAAGAACACTAGCGTAGATCTTTTTTATCAGAATAAAAATTTATTGGGTATTATCAGCGAAGATATTTGGGATAGGCACCTAAATATATGGTAGATAGTTTTGTACATTTAAGTTCCCCAGTAACTAGCAAAGGAATTTCGGATCCTTGCGTCATCCTATATAGAACTTTTCAGATTAAAAGATTTGACATATCTTAAGGTTAATGTTCAGGTTGATGCTTGAATTCGGTATTTATCGTTAGTAGCCATCTGAATTCAGTAAAACAAATGATAACGAGTTGATTTTGAAGTTGAAAGATTCTATGTTAATATCTCATTGTGAATATCAACATTGGAGTGTATCAGATTCATTTAGATAAGTTTGAAATAATATTATCCCGGATTCTAGATTCCACTGCTAGCTACTATCCGATCAATGAGTTAATGACAATCTGCTTAGGACATACCAATACTAAAAGAAACTGATCAATTGCAACCCTCCACAATACACAACGGAACAATATAAACGTTTAAAAATTCATCATAAGAATGTTTATCTCTCTGTTCGTTATTATTGATTATTTCTTCAATCATAATACGCTCCTTGAAAGAAAAGATCATAATCATTTGTATGTTTATTTCAGACTTAAATCAATACCATTCTAACATGATATATAAAGTATTTAATATAAAATACTCTCATTTTTTGTTCGTGTTACGTTGGTTACTAATTTCTGATTATTAAAGTTAATATTCTGAGTATTTACAGACTATTTGAAATTCATTATTCATCATAGGATTATACTGAATTATTCTGTATATTTCTATTGTTTGACAACTGGATATCTTTTTTTACAATTTCTATGAGTCAGGGGTAATTTCGAACCCATTTAAATGATTATGATAGTAATATGTGTAAATATAATCTTAGCTCTAGTAATCATGTTCGGAAAAACCATTGGTAAGTGATTTTTATTTCGTTTTATTCTTGTCTGTTCATTGAAATAATTAGAATAAGAACAAACTAAATATTAGTGAAACATGGTAAATTTACACTAAATCTAAATTAAATCAAGGGAATTTTCCCTAAGTGTTATTATTAACCAATAGTCATTAGTTCTTTTGAAAAAAAAAAAACTTAAAGGAAGTATAGTTTGACATCTGTATGATGTATAGAGTTTTAAGGTAGATAACTAATTCATTTTTCAAGAAAAAAAAAAACACACAACAGCATAGTGTACATCAACTGAAATATTTATTTTGATTTTTCATTTCATTCTGGCCATTTTTTTTATAAAAAAATAGGAGTTTTACACTTTCCTTAACAAGTAAAATTGATTATGAACCCGTTCAGTATTATGTAAGTATTTCTAGTTAGCTTATGATTTCGTACTTTGGTAAAACATTAACTAGACATTGACCAATTTTGTTCAGAGATTTTAAAAAATATCTTTTTTTTTTAATGTCTCTTGGATTGTATGTCTATCTGCGTTCATTAAATACACCTACATGTATTTTAAATATTCTAACCCTTTCAATTGACAATACATTTAAGATATGATTGGTTAATGTATAACTGGCCGTATGGAAAATTTAGCCAATCATATTCATGAGAGATAAGGGGGCAGTTCATATTTATAAAATCTATGATATGTATCTATTCAATATATGAGGGTGTAGGTGGCAACAAGATATTTTACTTCATATGTATCATGACGCTTTTATACGCTAAAAGTGTTAACCTCTCAATGAGATAAACATTATCTACACATAAAGATACTTTGTTAAAATAGTATGGATTTTAGAAAATTATCTGAGAAATTATGTCATCACTGGTGTAGCTAACAGAAAAAAAAACAAAAAAACAACCCTACTGTGATTAACTAATAGATACAAAGTATTCATGTATTGGTATTATATAATGAATGGTAGCCTATATTGTGTTAACTATGAAATTCACTAACATACACTGTTTGAAAGACAAAATTACAATGATATAAGTGAATTGAAAATGATGATTAAAAATATCTTTCTTTTTCAAAAATAATATAATATACCCACGCAAATGAAATATATACAGAGAAACTTGACACATCTAAACAAATACACATACAAGATTTATTTTGTGTGTTTTCAATAATTCATGTTGACTTTTTATTCATTGTTAATGTTCATTTCGATAACAATGCATTTAATTATTCTATTGTATACAATATAATTATATAACCCGATAGTGTTGGATTCATTTTCAATCGGTATATTTAATTATGAAAAGAAACAAAGAATATTTAATTGGATAATATTGTTAAATCATAATGCAATAATATTTAAATTATGTATCAATCACATTGTTTATTATTAATAATTTTATTAACAATTTATACTGTGAATATTCTTCAAGGATGTATGAAATCATCAATGTTTTATCGTACACCAATACGTACACGTTCACATGTATTTGTACCAGGAGAATATCAACCAAAACAATTAGAAAGTAATTTAGAAGCAAGTGGACCATTAGATACAAGAGATTTTCATAATCAATTCCCAAATAAACGTTTAGTACGTGTTGATTCACCATATATTATATTCGATTCTGAAGAAGCTAGATGGATGACAAAAGTGAGCGATAGTTGTTATTTCGCTTTTTTTTAAATTTCAAATATTTTTTTTCTTACACTGTAATAAATGCGTGGTTTCTAGAAACATATTTAACACATTAATCAACTTTTTCACTAAATAATCAAGACATTTCCGAATTCCTAGTAAGAAGTCATAATTAATAGATTTCATATATGTTTGGAGCAAAATAGTCATCATTAATTTTATAACATGTTCGTAGTTTTATATCTCAAATAGTTTTAATCATTAGTTATTCTCTATAAATCATGAAAGTTAGGCGATTGACTCCTTTTGAGATTGTAGATGTGCACTATAGAGGAGTTCTGTGTTAGAATAAAATAACTACTCAGTACTCCCAGAAGAAGTTAGTTTATAACGACCATAGTCTATAAACATTCCAATAAAAAAGATTTTTCATTTGTAAGTAGTTCACATTCAAACCTATAACAACTTATGATATTGTACACATATATATATATATATATATATATATATATATATATATATATATATATATATGTAATGACTACATTTAGTAGTCAGTTGTATTATTTTTCTAAATTGAAACACTATGCGTATAGGGCACAACATCATGAACTAGTTGGAGTTGGACATCAACATCGTTCGATTCCGGATCAATCGACTAGAGGCTAAGCATTCGCGTGCAAGACTGAAAGTCCTAGGTTCGAGTCCAATGCTATGACGAGATGTTTATTCAGTGTTTCCAGGTTTTTAATTATAGCCTAACATTGATCGGTTCATGATCTCAATAGAAAAATAAAATGGAATAATTAGCTAAAATCATTTCAAGTTTGTTTATATTAAATGTATTATGAAAAAAATTCAACATATGGTGAAATTATTTACTAATAACATCTGACTATAAATGATAGATTTTTTTATTTTTAAAAAATGTTATTTATCATGGAAATTCAAATAAAATCGTTAATCCTTTTTTTTTCATCATAAAAAAAAATTAGTTTTTCTAAGTAAAAGAGAATTCAGTGAAGAAAACCTCATTTTCGACGAAATCATTTACTTAAGCTGTACATCCGTATATATATATAGTTATATGGGTAATATATGTCTATAGAAGAATAGAAAAGATTACATCATAAATGGATTCGAGACTAAATATCAAATGAGGTTACACAATAATCAAGGGTTAATGAAGGCATATGAAGATGAAAATAATTGATGGGTCAGATAATAGTTCAATTGATAGATATGAAAAAGAAATGACAAACATAAATGGCATAATGATAATAATGATAAACTGAATAATAGTTGCAAATCAATAATTTAGAAAATTCAATAATAATCAAGTAAAAGTGAAGAAAAAAGGCGAAAAAACCCAAAACACACCAATAAAGGGAATTAGGATGAAGGAAGAATGAGAGGTTGGACGAATCGTTTCTGCATGCAAAGTTCGAGCTTGAGATCGTGGATTGCCAATTCTTTAGCAGTGCATAAAATATCTGTTTGCAATTTTAAACTCTCAGTTATTGTTATTATTATTATTGCCTTATAGAAGTTTCAATAGTTGAGATCATGAATCAATTGAAGCTAGAGCACGATGGAAAAGTTTGCTTGATTATTATTCAGTTTATTATTATTATTATTATTCCATTCATGTTTGTCGTTTCTTCCTCATATCTATCAATTCAACAATTATCTGACCCATTAATTATTTTCATCCTCATATGCCTTCATTAACCCTTGATTATTGTGTAACCTCATTTGATATTTAGTCTGGAATCCATTTATGATGTAATCTTTTGTATCCTTCTATAGACATATATTATCCATATAACTACATATATACAAATGTACAGCTTAAGTAAATGATTTCGTCAAAAAAGAGGTTTTTTTCACTGTATTCTCTTTTTCTTATTCAATGACACTGGTTTATTTTAATTAATTTCTCTAATGAAATCCTCTTGAAATAATACAGTAAAACTGGAATAGGTAATCTATTTTCTCCCCTTATGAATTTGTATTGATTTCAATAGAACAAATTTGGTTACATGTTTGTTAATAGTAGGAGTTTATCATTATTCATTGTTTAAAATTGTAGATTATAATTGATTTTAATGTCTGTTGTCAAATATAATCATTCTAAGTAAATTTATCTTGGAAATAACAAATTGCTTCTTAATACACTCAAAATCTATCGAATAAGTTAATAATTATCTGAATTGACATAGTTTAGTATAAAAAAATATTGAACATTTACTATCTAAGGTATTAAGTTCAAGTTTTAATGTGAGCATCAACACTAGAATAGAGTTATATCCAGTTGATTAGAATGAAACATAGTTCTTGGATAACATTACTAGTCATATTATCAAGTTCAGTGCTTTTATGTTTTCCATAATGATCTAGCTTCAATTGACTCGTGATTTCAACTATTGAAATTACTAAAATCTCCACAAAACCCCTTCTTATTTGTTTACATTTTAGAAGAAAGATATTACTTATATTAAAGTATAATTAGATACCAATTTCATTGATTAACTAACCATTGGTTATTCATGAATAGATTGACAATTGTTTTATATAGCTAATTAGTTTGAAAGACCCTTTTTGTTATTCACTTAAAAGAATAAAACTCCATATTTTAAATAAATTCAGCCTTATTATTATGATTTCAAAATCTTGTTACATAATTCTTGGTTAGTTTCTAAAAATAAAACAACACATATACAATTGGACAAACATTGTTTTTAATTAGGCAATCATTGAGCTTTACTCTTATTAAACAGATATATATATATATATATATATATATATATATATATATATATATGACTAATGGGGTTCAATCTATATCTGGTATCAGATAGCTATTCATCACAGGCAATGCAAGATTATGAACTGGTTAAAGTGAGACACATACAACAATGGATACCGGCAACGTGGTCAGTACGTTTAGCATTTTCATCAGAAACTGAATGTTCCTAAGTTCAGTATTTTTTTTGCACGGTTATGGATGTATGCTGTTGAAGTGTCCCATTCTAACACTAAACAATTATTCAATGCTTACTGGTTCTTAATTGTTGTCTAACTAAGATCGTTTGATGGTTGAAACTAGGAAAATTATTCAGTCAATCAACAGAACTGATGGAGAAATGATACCAATAAAAAAAGATTACATAACTAAACATAATAGGCAAAAACTGTAAATTGATAGTGTAATGACAAATTTACTAGTTGTGATAAGAATAATCAGTACATGAATCGTTATTGTTTCATAATAGGATGTAAATTAAAGACTTGCCAAAACAGACATTGAAATAGCATTCATTTACAAGTTATTAAAATAAGTTACAAGGAGTATTCAGATAATCAGACAGTAATGGATATATTCTAAAGACAGATGAAGAAAAATAAATGGAGATAATTAGTATAATTCATTTTGTATTGTTTGTTTGAATCGTCCTATTGATGTTTAGGACTGTCATTGATCAGTATCTTATTGGTATTTGTGCAACCTATAAGGATTACCTCGATATTGCCTTAACTCACAATCATTCTAAGCAACGATGGATAGTGACTAACAGTGGAATCTAGGATGCGCCTTTTGTTCCATTTGGAACTCGTCAGCTAGAAACTGATCAATTTAATTCCCAAACATCAATGGGAAGATTCAAGCAACCAGTATAAAAATGAATTAAACTTCACCCCACTGCACAAACTAGTGGCTGTCAGGACTCAGTAATTAAGTGGATAACATGATGGCGTTTGAAGCGAATGGTACTGGGTTCGAATTCCTGAGTAAACATCGACTCTAGGATGCAGACGAGTCCCAAATAGGACGAAACGCATGTCCTTGATTTCACTGTTAGTCACCATCCATCTTTGCTTATAATCAGTATAACTGTCTGGTTAACCTTAATTCAGTCGCGAGGGACATAAATGTGGTTCCTTATTTTCGATGAATAAAAATAATCGTCACTGCAATATTTGCGAGAGAAAAAACACCATTCAAGTTTGTGATCCCCAATGCAGAATCGTGAATGCATATTGCGGATAAAACGGTCATCCAATGCTTTCAGGTTTTCAATGATGATCTAGCTCAGATCAGTTCGTGGTTAAATCTATGAAAAAAACAAACACATGCTGAAAATTAAGTGAATGATATAAACTTTGTACTTACCATTCATTATATTATAATTATTGCAGTGTAAAATGAGTAAAGATTATCTTAATCATGTGTTAGATCATGTTTTTGTAATGCATAGTATTTATAAGATTCTACCCATCCTTGTAATTACCTAACTAATCAGTTTCACACGAGGATGTATCTAGCTAGATTTTATAGCGTAACAGTGGGTGATCCTATTTCATATCTCTGAAGAGAGAATGAAAGAGAGAGAGTGTGGGAGCATATGTTACCCCATGACTTCAGATGAACACAGTTGATGAGCGTTATATACAGAAGGAAATACAGGTACTGATAGTCTTGTTGATTGCCATCATCCAGTTAATAGGATCGTTATTAAATTCTATACATTCAATAAAGTATAATTATTAGTATGGAAACACTTAATAACGTTAATGATATGCATTTGAAATGATTTCTATTTTCCCAAAGTTGATGTTGAAGACTCCAATAAATCAGTATCTTATTAAGATCACGAACTGATCTAAGTTAAGCCATCGTTGGAAGTCTAGAAACAATGGATGACCGTTTCGTCCTAGTAAGGTACTCAGCAGAGGATACTCACGTATATACGACTATGAGTCGAGTCCAGAAACTTTTGCCTCGCACACAAACGCTTAACATCTAAACTAATGTATCTAGGTCCAGTGGTGCTAAGCAGTATCATACTAAGACGAAACATCTTTCCAAGGCTTACAGGTATTCAACAGTTGCCTAACTTAAATCGGTTCGTGATTTCAGTAAAACTCAACCATTTTCACAATTCCCATACTGATAGATCAGTATCCATTGAATTCGTGCTTCCTGGATGAATTTCCTGGATATTACCACTTAG